ACAGCCTGTATGTATGTATATTATTAATAAATTATAATATTATATTTTTCCTCCAATGATGTCACGCTTCCTACCTCACCCCGTCAACGTCAATTTGTTCGAATTGGATAAGCTTATAACCGATACTCAACGGACCTTGGTTATAACGATTGATTAAAATCGAGTTAGACTACTTCTAAACAATGCGCTTTGTCATTGTTTTCATTAAGCGATGACGTGGTTCTTCAAATCGATTCGCGTCTGCCCGCTGCGCACGCGTGTGAACCGATATTGAGAAGGCGATCTTTTCTCACGCAACGACATCGCCTCAAGAACAATAACCAAAAAACATCATAATTTCAATTGTCGTGCGTGGTTTAAATTAATTTATCTTCACAATTTGTTGAGTCAACGGCGTTGAACGGGCAAAAAGAGAATCGAAATTGACAAGATTTTCGCCGTGCATTGAGGGTTAACTAAATAAATTGCAGTCAGGAAATGGTAATTCGCAAAATTGGTCGTTTTCCATCGACAATTACCGTCTTTACCAAGCCGGGTTAATTGTTTCCTTCTCTCTTATAATTACAACGTGACTTTCCCATCGGCGTTATATTTTACTTTATGATTGTTGCTCCAAGTATTATTGCATCAATTACACTTTTTTTTGCCCGCTGTAAAAGTGTGGAATGAGGAATTTTACTACGCCGCCCCTTGTAGTGTAATAATAGCCGCCTCACGAAGTGAACCCGAAATTTCAAGCCAATGACGGCGACTCCGGACTTTTAAAACTCCTCCCTAAGAGTGCTTTGCTTTTGCTCCTTTATTCCTCCAACCAACGAGAACTCACTCGAACAATTTTCGAGGAAATTACCCAGCTTTGTTTTGCTTTTGTGAAAAGAATATGTAATTTTTTGGCGGAAATAAATACTTCAAACATTTGGCGTATTGTTTATTTCCAGGAAGTTGGTGTTTCAGTTCGACGGCAGCCGTCTGGAATTTATGGTTATACAATTTCGTCGAGGCAGGTGTATAAAATAGGGGGAAATATAATTGTTTTGACCCATAACGGAAATTGGGGCCATAAACTGCTGCTTATTTGATAAAACGATTATATTTAAGTATTATAGTTGTTAATATGTAAATAAAAAGGACGAGAAAGGTGCCCGTTGATGCATATCTTCACCCATAACTTACACAACACCACCATAAATTTCCCTACAATTCTTCATCTCTTCCCGATCTAACCATAAATTGTATCGACGCGTGATATATGCGGGCACTTCCGACTCAGCTATGCCTTTATCTACAATTTTGCAATAAATATAGAACTAGTAAAGCGAATTCAACAAAATATTTGTGGAAAAATATTTCACACTCTAACAAATTCCATGATAAAGATAAAGAAATATTGCTTGGTGATGAATTCAAACAATCGTGCCATAAACTGATATAGCATTTAAAAAATAACTTTTGTTGTGTTGAATCTAGATTAAATTTGCTTTAAAATGGTTTTCATTTTATTGCGATATCTCAATTTGTTCTTGATATACAATTATTTTAAATTTAATCATCATGTTCTGCAAACATGAAGTCAAAACATCTTGTCTTCAAGATTACTTGGAATAAAAAATACTTTTTTGTGTTGAATCTATATAAAATTTGCTTTAAAATGCTTTTAATTTTATGATGATATTTCAATTTGTTCTTGAGATACAAGTTTTTTTAAATTTAACCTCTAAAATTATCATGTTGTGCAAAGATGAACTCAAAACATCGTGACTTCAAGATTTATTAGAATAAAGCAATAATTTTTGCGTTGTTGAATCTTGATTAAATTTGTTTTATGCATCTCATTTTATGCCGATATCTCAACTTATTCTTGAGATACAATTTTTTTAAATTTTACTTCTAAAATCATCATGTTATGCATAGATGAAGTCAAAATATAGTGACTTCAAGATTAATTGGAATAAAAAAATCCTTTTTTTTATGTTGGATCTATATAAAATTTGCTTTAAAATGCTTTCAATTTTATGACGATATCTCAACTTGTTCTTGAGATACAATTTTTTTTAAATTTAACCTCAAAAATTATCTTATTATGCAAAGATGAACTCAAAACATCGTGACTTCAAGATTTATTGGAATAAAGCAATAATTGTCATGTTGCATCTTGATTAAATAAAATGCATCTCATTTTATGCCGATATCTCAACTTGTTCTTGAGATACACTTTCTTTTAAGTTTTATTTCTAAAATCGTCATATTATGCAAAGATGAACTCAAAATATCGTGACTTCAAGATTAATTGGAATAAAGAAATACTTTTTTTTTATGTTGGATCTATATAAAATTTGCTTTAAAATTCTTTCAATTTTATGACGATATCTCAACTTGTTCTTGAGATACAAGTTTTTTTAAATTTAACCTCAAAAATTATATTATGCAAAGATGAACTCAAAACATCGTGACTTCAAGATTAATTGGAATAAAGAAATACTTTTTCTAATGTTGGATCTATATAAAATTTGCTTTAAAATTCTTTCAATTTTATGACGATATCTCAACTTATTCTTGAGATACAAGTTTTTTTAAATTTAACCTCAAAAATTATATTATGCAAAGATGAACTCAAAACATCGTGACTTCAAGATTTACTGGAATAAAGCAATAATTTTTGCGTTGTTGAGTCTTGATTAAATTTGTTTTAAAATGCATCTCATTTTATGCCGATATCTCAACTTATTCTTGAGATACAATTTTTTTAAATTTCATTTCTAAAATCATCATGTTATGCATAGATGAACTCAAAACATCGTGCCCTCAAGATTAATTGGAATAAGGAAATAGTTTTTTTTGTGTTGAATCTATATAAAATTTGCTTTAAAATGCTTTCAATTTTATGACGATATCTCAACTTGTTCTTGAGATACACTTTCTTTTAAGTTTTACTTCTAAAATCATTATGTTATGCATAGATGAACTCAAAACATCGTGACTTCAAAATTCATTTGAATAAAGAAATATTTTTTCTTGTATTGAATCTATACAAAATGTGCTTCAAAATGCTTTTTATTTTATGGTGACATCTTAATTTGTTCTTGAGATACAGTTTTTTGAATTTAACTTCTAAAATTGTCATGTTGTGCAAAGATGAACTAAAAACATCGTGACTTCAAGATTTATTGGAATAAAGCAATAATTTTTGTGATGTTGAATCTTGATTAAATTTGCTTTAAAATGCATCTCATTTTAAGCTGATATCTCAACTTGTTCTTGAGATACACTTTCTTTTAAGTTTTACTTCTAAAATCATCATGTTATGCAAAGATGAACTCAAAACATCGTGGCTTCAAGATTAATTGAATTAAAGAAATACTTTTTTTTATGTTGGATCTACATAATAAAATTTGCTTTAAAATGCTTTTTATTTTATGGCGATATCTTAATTTGTTCTTAAGATACAAATTTTTTAAATTTTATTCTAAAATCATCATGTTATGCATAGATGAACTCAGAACATCGTGACTTCAAGATTAATTGGAATAAAGAAATACTTTTTTTTGTGTTGAATCTATATAAAATTTGTTTTAAAATGCTTTGTATTTTATGGCGATATCTTAATTTGTTCTTAAGATACAAATTTTTTAAATTTAACCTCTAATATTATCGTGTGTGAACTCAAAACATCGTGACGTCAAAGTTTTTTGGCATAAAGCAATAATTTCTGCGTTGTTAAATCTTGATTAAATTTGTTTTAAAATGCATCTCATTTTATACCGATATCTCAACTTGTTCTTGAGATACAAGTTTATTTCAATTTTACCTCTGAAATTATCGTGTTATGCATAGATGAGCTCAAAACATCGTGACGTCAAAAATTATTGAAATAAAGCAATAATTTTTACGGTGTTGAATCTTGATTAAATTTGCTTTAAAATGGTTTTCATGTTATTGCGATATCTCAACTTGTTCTTGAGATACAAATTTTTTAAGTTTGTAAGTAAAATCATCATGTTATGCATAGATGAACTCAAAACATCGTGACTGCAAGATTAATTGGAATAAAGAAATAATTTTTTTTTGTGTTGAATCTATATAAAATTTGCTTTAAAATGCTTTTTATTTTATGGCGATATCTTAATTTGTTCTTAAGATACAAATTTTTTAAATTTAACCTCTAATATTATCGTGTAGTGCAAAGATGAACTCAAAACATCGTGACGTCAAATTTTTTTGGCATAAAGCAATAATTTTTGCGTTGTTAAATCTTGATTAAATTTGTTTTAAAATGCATCTCATTTTATGCCGATATCTCAACTTGTTCTTGAGATACAAGTTTTTTTAAATTTAACCTCTTAAATTATCATGTTATGCATAGATGAACTCAAAACATCGTGACGTCAAAAATTATTGGAAGAAAGCAATAATTTGTACGGTGTTGAATCTTGATTAAATTTGCTTTAAAATGGTTTTCATGTTATTGCGATATCTTAACTTGTTCTTGAGATACTTGAAATGTTATGCATAGATGAACTCAAAACATCGTGATTTCAAGATTAATTTTAATAAAGAGATTTTTTTGTTGAATCTATATAAAATTTGCTTTAAAACACATTCAATTTTATGACGATATCTCAATTTGTTCTTGAGATAGACATTTTTTAAATTTAACCTCTAAAATTATCATGTGCAAAAATTAACTCAATACATCCTGATTTCAAGATTTGTTGGAATAAACCAATAATTTTTGCAGTGTTTAATCTTGATTAAATTTGGTTTAATATGTATTTTATTTCATGCCGATATCTCAACTAGTTCTTGAGATATGAAATTTTCTATAAACTTTTCAAAAACTATTTTTGTGCTTTTTAACACAAAACCGTTTTTATCTCCAAACCGATTGGTTATAAAGCGCCTTGCTAAGAGTACCTTTTTTGTTCAAAATACTTCAACGAATTCAAACAATATCTCAAATTATGATTATGATGATTTTATAATATATTTTTTTTTATTTTCTTTCAGTTCGAAATGGTTACTCGTGTGTTCCATTGGCACTGGCAGATGGTTTGGATATAAAATTGAATGCAGCAGTAAAAAAAGTGGAATACAATCAACGTGGAGTTGAGGTGACCGTGTACAACCCCCGCAATCCGATGTCTACGAATACTTATCACGGTACGGTATCATCCTCAGACGGTTTGAGAAAATAGTTACGGTTTCGTTCAGTTGGTCATGTTATTTTCGCCTCCTCCGCCTCGTTTCGTTTGTGCTTGGACGGTCGTTGGTTCGGCGTGTAATTGATGTGGGATATTTACGACGTGCATTAACCCGGACCGTAACAGCCGGACCGGAGTCTGGAAGTGCGAAATTTACGGCGGGCTGTAAACCAGCGCGCGTAGGGGATGGATTTTATGGTGCGCAGAGGCGCGGCCGACGCGACTATTTTTTTCTATTCAGACAACTGGCGGCCCTCCCATAAAAAAAATACGATTTTCAAATATCGCGTCTCGGTTTACGACGTTACGCATTCTTCGTCGCATCCAATAACGCCGAGAAGTGGTTGTTGTTGCGTGTATGCGCGATTTTTCGCAATTATCTCCTCCCTAGGTTTTCTGCGAATCTTCTCCGGAGGACGCAAATCACCGCTTTGAGTCTATGAGAACCACAACCGAGTCGAGTTTAAAAATCAATTGGTCACGCTATGTATAGAGTAAATAAACACTCTACAATTACCACTCGGTACTTACTAAAACTTTTATGGTGTTTCTTCTTTTTAATTTTAGCTGACGTGGTACTTTGCACCCTTCCTCTCGGCGTACTCAAGCTTAGCGTCGCTCCGGAGAGCAGTCAAGTTAACACCGTTCAATTTTCACCTCCGCTTCCAGATTGGAAAGCAGCCGCAATTAAGCGATTGGGATTTGGAAATTTAAACAAAGTCGTTTTGTGTTTTGAACGAATCTTTTGGAACCCCCAAGCGAATTTATTTGGGCACGTCGGTAGCACCACTGCAAGTAGAGGAGAACTTTTTCTATTTTGGAATCTTTATAAAGCGCCGGTTCTATTGGCTTTAGTTGCTGGAGATGCTGCAGCTATTATGGAAAATGTTACGGATGATGTAATAGTTGGAAGGTAAATTTTTTGTATTGATTAATTCGCTGTCTCATGTAATTTCGAAAGAATCAACGGTCTATTAGTCAATTAGGGCCGACGTTTTAATTGGATAAGCAGATAGGCGCACCTAATTTTTTTCTTATTCATTGACTTCGTTAACAAGCGGTGACATTTCATATTTTTACTCTTGTGTAAATTCAGATCGAAAAGTGATACTCGCGTTGTATAACCAAATTGCAAAACGTCTGATATTTAATAATTGAATAGTATACGTTCGAATCCGGGTTGCTTAAGCGATTGTTTGAATAGTAGAGATCACTTTCAAAGAAGTGACTCAATATATCTTTATTTTATGAATTTCTTTTTTTATATTTAGATGCATCGCTGTGCTCCGAGGTATTTTCGGCCAATCTGGTGTTCCACAACCTAAAGAAACTGTTGTTACTCGTTGGAGAGCTGATCCTTGGTCAAGAGGATCTTATAGTTTCGTTGCCGTTGGAAGTTCTGGAAGCGATTATGATTTTTTAGCATCCCCAGTTATTCCACCGACTCCTCAAGGACAATCGGTAACCTCGGGTCCTGCAAGAGTTTTTTTCGCCGGAGAACACACAATAAGAAATTATCCCGCAACTGTTCATGGCGCTTTTCTTAGTGGTTTAAGAGAGGCAAGTCGAATTGCCGATCAAATAATCGGAAATCCTTGCTTACCCACAAACGACGCCGATTAAACTTAACGAACAACGTTTTTATTGTTAATAAATCTCAATAAATCCTGTTTCCGAACGAAAGAGTTTTTCAGAGTTTTCTTTAAAGTTCATCGTACGTATATCCCCGGACGTAATCCCCTGTCCGTTTTTCTTTTTCGCCGACGAAACGAAAACTGTAAACGTCAATTAGGGCGCACTTTACAAGTTCCCATAAACGGCCGATCGCCCTGAATTCACTAATAAACGTATAAATTAATATAATTTACATGATGCTTTGCTAAGATTGACACGCGGTGATATGAGGGGCAACATTTTACTTCGGATTATGCGAGATAATTAAAGCGAAAGATTATTGTTTTTCAATGTGTAAGAACCATACAAAGTTCCACAGAAAAACATTCGATCGAGGATTTAAATTATAATTGATGAGTAACATTCAACCTAAAATTTGTGCATTTTAATACAAAATTGATTTTATCTCTAATCCTGTGGCTGATACAATATTTCACTAAAAGTATTTTTTTATGCAAAATGCTTCAAATAATTCAAAAATATACTCAAATTTCAAATTTAGTCATTGGCGTAGATCTTACAGGGTACAAAATAACAATTTTCTCATTTTTGCGCATTTTTAAACACAAAATCATTTTTATCCTAAAATTTGTTGCTTTTACAGTTATTTTTTTAGTTATTTATCAGTAGTTTTTTACGTAAAATACTTTAAAGTATTTGTAATCATCACCAGCATTACAATTTATTAGGTAATAATGAAGTTAAGGGGCGGATAATGAAGATGTCGCTATTTTCCCAATTTTTAGTACATTTTAATACAAAATCGCTTTTATCTCCAAATTGGTTACTGATACAACATTTCACTAAGAGTACCTTTTTTACGTAAAATGCTTCAAGCAATTCAAAAATATACTCAAAATTCAAATTTAGTCAGTGGCGTAAATGTTACGGGGAACAAAGTAACGATATTCTAATTTTCGCGCATTTTTAGACAGAAAATCATTTTTATCTCAAAATTGGTTGCTTTTACAGTTATTATTCATCAACAGTTTTTTACGTAAAATATTTTAAAGTATTCATAAACATCGCCTGCATTACAATTTATTCACTAGTATGGAAGCTAAGAGGCGTATAGTGAAGATACTGCTATTTTCCCAATTTTTAGTGCATTTTATACAAAATCAATTTTATCTTTAAATTGGTTGCTGATAGAACGTTTCACTAAGAGTACTTTTTTACGCAAAATGCACCAAGAAATTGAAGAATACACTCAAAATTGAAATTTAGTCATTGGTGTAGATGTTACGGGGTGCAAAATAAACGATAACCTCATTTTCTCGAATTTCCAAATACAAAATCATCTTTATCTCAAAATTGGAAGCCGTTACAATTATTATTTATTAGTACTTTTTTACGTAAAATACTCTAAAGTATTCATAAACATCCCCTGCATTACAATTTATTAACTAATATAGAAGGTAAAGAGCACATAATTTAGATATCGCTATTTTCCCAATTTTTAGTGCATTTTAATACAAAATCGATTTTACCTCCAAATTGGTTACTGATACAACATTTCACTAAGAGCACCTTTCTTACGCAAAATGCTTCAAGCAATTCAAAAATATACTCAAAATTCAAATTTAGTCATTGGCATAGATGTTACGGGGTGCAAAATAAACGATAACCTCATTTTCGCGCATTTTTAGTCACAAAATCATCTTTATCTCAAAATTGGATGCTTTTACGGTTGTTATTTATCAGAACTTTTTTATGTAAAATACTCTAAAGAATTCATAAACATCGCCTGCATTAAAATTTATTAACTAATATGGAAGTTAAAGGACACATAATTAAGTTATGGCTATTTTCTCAATTTTTAGTACATTTTAATACAAAAACCATTTTATCTCCAAATTGGATACTGATACAACATTTCACCAAGAGTACCTTTCTTACGCAAAATGCTTCAAGCAATTCAAAAATATACTCAAAATTCAAATTTAGTCAGTGGCGTAGATGTTACGGGGTGATAAAAAACCATATTATCATTTTCGCACACTTTTGGACACAAAATCATTTTTATCTCAAAATTGGTTGCTTTTACAGTTATTATTCATCAGCAGTTTTTTACGTAAAGTACTCAGTAATATGGAAGAATGGAAATTAAAAGACACATAATGAAGATATCGCTATTTTCCCAATTTTTAGTGTACTTTAATATAAAAGCAATTTTATCTCTAAATTGGTTAACTTTACTTAACTTACTCAACTTTTTCAAAATAACGACATTCTCATTTTTGCGCATTTTTAAACACAAAATCATCTTTATCTCGAAGTTCACTCCAAAGGTGGCAGTGCAGTTATAATAAAATACAATATTACCCATTACCAGAGGATGGAATACAGGACAAGGATGATACAGGCTACGTCAGTCAATATAAGAACAAAAACTTATGAGCTAATTGTCACAGCTATTTATTGCTCACCCAGACATACTATCAAAAGAGAACAATACATAGAGTTTTTAGAATTACAAGGCTATAGGTCCATCATAGGAGGAGACCTCAATGCGAAGCACACCCACTGGGGATGAAGGCTTATCACAACTAAGGGAAGAGAACTTTTCAACGCAATCAAGCAATTGAATTGCGAAATTTTATCTATAGGCAAGCCAACGTATACCGATACGAACAAAATCCCAGATTTGATTGACTTTTTCATAACAAGGAATGTATCAGTAAACTACATGCAAGTATAAGAGGCATGGGGTACGAATTCTGACGATTTTCCTATCCTACTCACGCTCAGCGACTCAGTCATACAGAAGCAAAATTCACCTGCAATAGCAGGTGTCACAAACAGATTGGCGAAGTTTGCAAATCCTAGAAGACAGAATTAACCTCGCAGTTTGCCTTAACTCCAAAGAAGTGCTTGATAAGGATATCGAGTTACTGGTTAACTGTATCCAACAGGCAGCATAGGACAGTAACCCTAAATTAAACGCAAGAACAAAGGGACCCTAAGGAAATAACCCTAAGAAACCTACCCTAAGGAAATAAAAGATCTAATCCGACAGAGGCGCAAACTTAGACGCAAATGGCAAACTAGGGCTCCAGAATTTAAAACTAGGTTGAATAATACCACCTAACAGCTGAGAAGGGTTTTCAAGAATAATGCTCTAAACGGGCACCCTAAATGAATTGACGAACGACAAATCTACGGATTACTCACTATGGAAAGCTACCAAAAGACTAAAGAGGGCAATCACACAAAATTTACTAATTAGAAATAAGGATGGAAGCTGGGCTAGAAATAATGAGCAAAAAGCAAATAGATTTGCAAAACACCCAGCAAACACATTTAAAACCTACGCAGGAGAAGAGCAGTTAAAACTGATAATACAAAATCAGGACACTGTGGAAATAACCTTCACTACTCCAAGGGAGATATCCACTGTAATCATAGAAAATATCGACCCGTAGAAAGCTCCTGGTTTTGACCTAATTACAGGCGAAATTTTAAAACATTTACCAAAGTAAGCTATAGTCAGACTGACACATATTATTAATGCAGCCTTCAGACTCAAATATGTGCTTACCCTGTTCAAAGTTGCTGAGGTTATAATGATCCCTAAACCGGGGAAACCACCAAACGAGGTTCAGATCAATTAATTGATCTGATTATAATCAGATCAATTATTTGAGAAAATACTATTAAAAAGACTAAATCCTATACTTGAGGAAAGAAATTTGATACCACCACATCAGTTTGGATTCAGAGAGGGACACTTTACCATATCCCAGATACATACATTTATTCCCAGATAACTGACGTCATAGAAAAATCGATAGGGGGAAGGAAAGTCTGTTCTTCTATCTTCTTGGATTTGGCTCAGGCATTTGATAAAGTTTGGCATAAGGGACTCAAATACAAACTGAAAAACTCATACCCAAACAGTATGCACAACTGCTAGACTCGTATATATCAGAACGAGCCTTTAGAATAAAGCAAGAAGATGGTTATTCTGATTTTAAAGAAATTAATGCAGGCGTGCCACAAAGAAGTATACTTGAACAAAAGGTACAGGGCTGACCTTTTGTACACTTGTGACATTCCTAAAATAGAAAACGATACTATTGCTACTTTTGCTGATGGCACGACATCAGCAAAATAGACTACAGACATCAATTAATAAAATTAATGACTGGACTAAAAAATGGAGAATTACCTTAAATAAGAATAAATCGTTACCTGTTAATTTTACAAACAAAAGGGAGCAATATGTAGCAATCAGAGTAGATGATAAACAGATACCATATGCGAACACAGCAAAATATCTGGGATTAACGTTAGATGTAAAATTTCGTTGGAATATATATCAAGAAGAAACGGGAAGTGCTCGGAATCAGATATAAGAAAATGTATTGGCGGTTGGGGAGGAAATCCACTCTATCAACATACATATAATAAATTACTTATGTATAAACAGATCCTGAAACCGATATGGACATATGGGATTCAACTATTGGGATGTGCCAGCGAAAGCAACACCCAAATCATTAAGAGATTCCAGAATAAAGTGTTAAGGATCATCGTTGATGCACCCTGGTACTTTCGAAGTAGTTACATCCAACGGGATTTGGGGCCAGATGATCAATAAATTTGCCAACAGCCATGAACGGCTCTTAGACCACGTGAATATTAAGGCCATCCAGCTCCTCGACAACACCAACCAGACGAGAAGACCCAAGAGAACGAAACCTTTTGAGCTAGTTGTTTGTTGATGAACCATGTTTAGTGCTGGAGTTTATTTTTATTAGTACAATCTAAGGAACTTCTACTGAGTAAGGCTCCTAGTTTTAAGATACTCGTAGTAAATTAGGTTGGAATAAAATTCTTCATTGATCGTATTAATGATCAGATCACAATAAAAATGAAACGTTACGGTTTTATAATAAAAAAAAATCTCGAAATTGGATGCTTTTACAGTTATTATTTATTGGTACTTTTTTACGTAAAATACTGTAAAGTATTGATAAACATCCTCTGCATTACAATTTATTAACTAATA